TCACGGCTCCCTCCTTCCCCGGCTCCAATCCCCACGTCCCGCCGTTCCCCGCCCCCGGCCGCCTCCTTTCTCCCTCTTCTCCCCACCTTCTCCCGTGAAGCCGCACTGGCCGAGAGCAGGGAGGAAGAGAGCGCGCAGACTGGCAGAGGCCGCTGAGTGAGCAGGACTTCGCGGGCAAGGGATAGAGCTGGGCAGAGATGTGGAGAAAGATGGGCCCAGAGCACACGGGATGGGAAAACGTTGGAGAGGGGTCGACCCGGAGACATATGACTGACAGTCGAGGAAGAGATTGACCGGCGGCGGAGAGACGAGAAGAAACGGGTGAGCCAGACATGCGTAAGAAAAGGAGGGAGTCCAAAAGAGAAAAGAAACGGGACAGAAAACAGCCTGGACGCCTCAGGCTCTCTCTGCAGCCCCTTCCTCAGGAGTGGATGTGGGATCTGACCAGACCTGTTGGGGGCGCCAGAATCAGGTGAAGACACTTGGTGGCCCCAAGTCGCTGAACACCGCTCCTGATTCTCTCTACCTTATGAGAGATTTCTGTGCCATCTTTTCTCCCAAGAGGACTCTGCACAGCAGGTTCAAGCTCACACCTCCACTCCAAAGCAGCTTCAGTAGTCCCCTCTTCCCCACCTCCTGGTTTGGAGTTGGGCCATCACTAAGGTCTTACTTTCAACTCAAGTCCCAGTGGGAGGTGTTTTGTTTTATTTTGTTTTGCGGTAGTGGAGACCGAACTCAGGTCCTTGCACTTGCAAGGCAGGCACGATGCCACTGAGCTAGATCCTCGCCCCCACCCCCGTGGGAGTGCTATGATTTAACCTTACACCCTTCCTTTGCAGTGTCTGCATCTGGTACTGGATAGGAACTTCTGGAATTGAGCTAATGGGCCGTAGGGCTGGTTTGTGCTGCTCTGGAGGGGAAGGTGGTGGTGGGAGGATGAAATCGGATGTCTTAGAAGCTCTGAACCTATTGCCGTTCCTAATTCCCCAGCCCTCTTTAGCAGTGAGCATTTTTTTTCTGGGGAGGATTAATGGGGATTGAACCCAGGGTTTTGCCCATGCTAGGCAAGTGCTCTGGCCACTGAGCTATGCCCCCAGCGTAGCAGAGAGCATTTCCTGAAACTCTTCCGATGTTACTCTTCCCCACTGCAGTTTCCATGATGAAAAGGAGGGGTGGGGAGGATTCTGTGAAGCCAGTGCCGAGGGCTCCAGGCCCAGTGCCTGCCCAAAGCAGCTAGCAGTGCTGGCTGTAAGACCCTCTGGGCCTCCTTGTCTCACATGAATGTCTTCTGTGCTCTTGTCTTGGCAAAGGTTGGGAAGTCTGGTTCTGATTACAAGGGGTTGGAGTATCCGATTCCAATCTGGCTGCAGGGAAGAGGCAGGGCACGGTGACAGTGTGGACCCGACCCGACACCCACCCCCAATACTGGCATTTGGGAGGGGTGGATATGGTCAGTACTGGAAGCCTTGACTTTACTGCTCTTGGCTGAGTTAGCGCTCAGTAGGCTGTTTCAGAGGCTTCATAGAGCAGCTGGAGTTACTGGGGCCTGAAGGAAGGGATCAGAGAACTGGGAAAGCATAGGGAGGGGCCCTGGGAAGGGCAGGAGTTAAGGAAAGCCAGAGGAGTGGCAGGGATTGGAGGCTACTGGGAAAGGGCATGGCTGAAGGTCATCGTACTCTACATGAGGTGTGGAAATTTATTCATTTCTTTGGGGCCTGTTGCTACTTAGCCCTTCCCAGTACTTCTCAGGGCTGCAGCTGGGCCCTGGGATGCATGCTTTGGAAGTAGGTTCTAATCTATAGGCACAGAGGTACTTGATTGGATCCCAGCGAGGTGGGTATGGCTAGAATCACATACCCCTGCTGGTACTGCTGCTCTGCCTGGCCAATCAATAAGAGGAACTTTTTGAGGTCCCAAGGAGTTGGAAGTGGTCACAAGATAAGTAGCTGCACTTCCAGTCCAGGCTTAATTTCTACCCTCAATGTGGGTATTGAGGAGAGTAATTGTGCAGGAACCTCACGAGAAAGACTGAGAATACATCATACCGAAACAGCTTGGTGGGTTGCAATAAAAATAGGGGTTCAGGAGCCAGCCAGGCATCATTTTTACCAGCTCAGAGCAGCTGGAACTTCAGAAAGGGAGAAAGCAGAGGTGCTCTTGGAAAAAGTGAAACCAAATTTCAGGAACACCCTCTGACCTCCCTCCATGCAGGGTTTCTTACCTTGACTATGCAGAGGGAGGCCCATCTTGGTACCAAGAGTGGAACCCCCTCTTCCATGGCCTGGGGTGATCTCATGCCTGAAGCTGCACAGGTCGCTGGAGTGGAAAGGACTGGGAGGAATAAGCTTTGAGTGTGGGGCTGTCCTGGCTGGAAGACCACTGGGTCAGGAGAACTTTGTGGAGGTTTTGGGCGCTGGAAACCAGGAAGAGCGGGGGAAGGGGCAGAGCTGACTCCAGAGGCGGATCCCCTGGCTCAGGACAGAGAGTGTATTGTCCAACCAGAAGGTTGCTGCTGCTAAGCGAGGAGCAGCAGTTTCTTCCAAACTTTTTGGGGAGGCGGGGAGGGTTAGGAAAGGCAAATCCCCCTTACTTAAGGCCCTGAGGGTTACAATGGTTGCTGAGAAACGAGGCTTATTTGACAAATAGCTGCTTCCCAAGAGCAGATGTGTAGCTCTCACTTCCTGAGAAACGAGATGTGAGCTTGTATAGCACTTGAGATGACGCCCTTAGCATGAACTGGGACCCTCATTGCCTTGGGATCCAGAGCACAGAACTTGATTCTGCTAAATTGGGCTACGTGGTCTGGAGAACACAGGCCAGTCATCTGCATCTGTGTACCACACCCCGACTCCCGTTTCTAGTTGCTCAATTTCCAGGAGGCTTGCAATGAAGGCTTGATTGCCTCAGACCCGTCCTGCAGCTGGACCAAAGGGTCTACTGTGGTCACAACTGAGCACTCAGCCATGGAGCCTAGCTTTCCCGATTTTGGAATTCTAGCCTACCCTTTCTGTGCACCAAAACAGCTACTTTCAGTAAGCCTTTCCCAATTTGTCCTTCAGTATAAATGGCTTTGAAAGGCTGGAGGATGTGACTGCCCTAGACCAGCTTCTAGGGTGTAGCTGGCCCAGGAGAGCTTTGTCTTGTAGGTGCTACAGACGCCTGGGCAGCAGGAGCCTTTTTTCCCTTCAACTCTGCAACACACTGAAAGCCTCTCACATCCCAATTCACTGAGCCTCTGTATCACTCAGCTCTGCCAATTGATTCTGGAGATCAGCAGACTTGCTAAAAACTACAAAAGCAGCTGCTTTGACTGGCTAGCAAAGCCTTCTATCACTATTCCCATCTATTCTCACAAAACCCCCTCCTTGGCTCAAAGTCAAATTGTGGTGGTATCCTAGGCATCTGTCCACTACTCCCAGTGACTGAAAGGACTCTTTGCCACTTAGTCCCTTTCCTGCCTTGTAACAATGATCGGCCTGTTCTTAGCCATTTGGAAAATTCCCATTAAACCTGAGGCATGATTCAGAGAAAGCCTCTGTCCTGGTAACCCAGAGTGACCTGCCATCCAGACTGCAGCCAGCAGTGTGGAATAATTCCCATTAAACCTGAGGCATGATTCAGAGAAAGCCTCTGTCCTGGTAACCCAGAGTGACCTACCTGCCATCCAGACTGCAGCCAGCAGTGTGGAGGTTTAAGGGGGCACCACACCAATGCCGTGCTCATCATGAAGTACAGGACTCCAGGCTCAGGCAGGTGACAAAAATGAGCACAGGCCAAACATGCTAGAGGGGGAGCTGCAATGATTCCCACCCAGTTCTAACCTTTTAAGAATTGTATTTCTTTAGCTCCACCTTCTGATTTTGAACCAATCATATCTAATGCTGAGAAGAGGAGCAAGATGTCACTGCATGGCGAAACAAAACACACTGGAGTGTGGAATATGTCAAAAGAATTTCAGCATTAAAATGAATTTTAAACATCAGATTTATTTGGAGAAAACAAAACAAAAAACCCACAACCCAAAGGATGGGATTTTACATCTCAAGACATCTCCCAGGTAGTAAGTCTACAGATTACAAATCATTTTCATATAAGATATTTTTGTACAAATTTTACATGGATTCAGGAGTGGGACATAAACCAATCCCTGTTTAGTGGGGCAAGGAAGGGGAGTGGGGCAAAACAGCTTTTTTGGGTGCAACTATTTGGAAGGAGAGCAGACATGAAGAGGGCAAACTCTACCTTTTCATTATCTACAACCAATGGTTTAAAAAGCAAACCTGTTCAACTCAGGGTATGTCTAAAAGCCCACTTCCTAGCTACTGCCAACCCCACCAATTTGAGGGTAATTCTCTGGGTGTACCTTTAGTCCACTGGATGAATGGCCCATTTCATACACACCCAACCCCTGCAGGGCTAGAGAGGGTCTAACCTGGGACCATGGGAGAAGAGCTCGTAAATAGAGACCACGCTACCCTCATATACCAAGGGGACAAATCCCATCTACCAAGCTGACCCCCAAAGGTGCACATAAAAGCTATTGTGTTGCAAGAGAAACCAGAATCTTGTTAAATAGATCTTTCATTTTTTTTCTCTCAAGGGAAGCTAAAAACCACACTCCCTCCCTCAAGCAAAAAAACCACACTGGTCTAGGCCACATTATAAACCCAAGCATTTGTGTGGGATTTCACTGAAGACTTGTAAAAAAACCAAAACAAAACCAAAAAACAGAACCCATACACCACAATCAAGGTTATAAGAAAAGCTTCCAACGTAACTGTCCCTAGTCCATACTTATTCATCACCAAAGATCAATCTAGAGTTTTGTGATCTAGAGAAGGGACCAGAGCAGCAGGAGCAGGCATGGAGGGAAGGAATGAGAATCAAGACATCAAAGAGCTGATTTGTTTGAGAAAAGCATTGATTCATCACGTCACAGCATCCAGTGGCTGACATATAAAATGCCTAAGAAGTCATGTTGTGACTTATCTAGAAACTAGTCTTTGGGAGGTGAGAGTAGCATGAGGAACATGAGAGATGGCTAAGACTCTGGCATTATTATTTTGGTCGAGACAGGGTCTCACGTAGTTCATACTGGCCTCAAAAAACTTGCTATGTAGTCCAGGCTGGCCTCAAACTCACAGAGATCCTCCTGCCTCAGCCTCCCAAGCACTGGGATTACAGGTGTGTACCACCACACCGGGCCCTAAGAGTTTGAATTTGTTAAAGCTTCAAGGTTAAAAAAAAAAAAAAAAAAAAAAAAAGAATATATTTCAACTTTCAGAAAGAGTAAGAGAAAGGACAAAACCGGGACAAGACTGGAAATTCCCATGACCCTTAAGTGCTTCCTGCTCCATCAAACAACCATTCATGTGTTTACTGGAGGTCATACCATTTCCTCCTACTGCCTGGCACAAAATAAATCCATCACCTCCCAAAAGCTTCTTTTCCAAGCACGATTTCCCCATTATTTTGGTCCCAACCAGTCTTATTCTTTAGTGGCCTGTAGACACACTCCCAGCTACCCCCCTGGGGGGTAAAAAATAAAGTTATTTCCCCTAGGCTGGCCCCAACAATCAGAATTAAAATAAGAGGCAGGGCTGGCAGCCTCCTGGAGACAATTTGAGACACTCACTCTACCTTTCCAAAGATGGAAAGTTTATTCAGATAATGCTTGAGAATTCATATATGCCACAATAGGGTAAGAATGAAAAGGTAGAAATCTCACTGTTCCTTATCCCTCCCCTACTGCCCAAAGATTCCAGGCATCATATCACTGTCATTACCATTTCTGCTAAATGGAGCCCCCTAGGCACTAATCACACAGGCAGCTGCAACTGCATGGTACCCTAAGAACACACCACAACTTTTCCATTAAAAAGCTGTAGTCTCTGTCTCTCTGGCTATTCTCCGGTTACTTCAATACTTTAAAGGCTGCAGCATCATGCAACAGAATTTCATTTTTTAAAAAAAAAGTTAAGAAAGATCTCCAGGAGATGGTGAGTTTTATTTTGCCTTGTCTGGATAGAGGTTTGATTTGCTCTTGAATGTTCCAGGGTGGAGAAAGACTAGGAGAAAGCACAGGCTGTTTGAGGTCTACTCAGCGTAGTCTTCTCCTTCATTTTCATCTTCACCATCCACGGAAAGAGCAGCATACTTGCTTGCAGAACTGAACTTCTATAAAAGATGAGAGTGACAAGATAATGAAGGCCTTGGATTCTCATGTCAAAAATCACAAAAGAGGTAGATGTGGTAGTGCATCCCAGCATCCCTGTGATCCCAGCACCTGGGAGGCTAAGCAGAGGACTACAGATTTGAGGCCAGCCTGGACTCCATAGCCAGACCTTGTCTCAAAAAACCAAAACAAAGGATGCTGAAACTTCGGCAAAGGAGGGACAAAGGTTCAGAATATGCCTATGTGCTTGCTCATTGCATCTTCTAGAGCAGCTAGGGAAGAGGGTCAGCCATATGGTACTTCTTAACTTGCAGGAGGAGCAATGAAAAAAGGTGGCACTGGGTAAAAAAACCCCATCTAAACTTCCTTCACTAATTTGAAGAAACATCTATACCTTACTCCTAACCACTTTGCAGTACCAAATGTGAAGGGGAGCCCAAGAGCAAGCGTGAACAAGAGAAGTTGAGGGTAAGCCTTTAACACTCACGGAGGCTGGATTTTCCTCAGATTTCTTTGGCTCAGGTGCAGATCTAAAGTCTTGATCCTTTTTGCCATCTTTCCTGCAGATTTAAACGTAAATTGCATCTCTGAAGGACTCCTCCAAAGCACACAGGCCCAGGTGTACTTTTTTTTTTTCTTGTACCAGGGATAGAACTCAGATTCCTGCTCTTGCGAGGCAAGCAGTGGCACCACTAGGTAAATCCCCGGCACCCCCAGGTGCACTTTTGAAGCACTGGACAGGCACATATCCACGAGTCAACAGTCTGTGCTCTCTGAGCACTGTATTATTTCCAGATTCTCCAATACAACTACTGTATAAACTATAAACTGAAGTCAATAGTGTTTGGAGAACCAACAAAATTCCTAATCACAAAGACCCATGAATCTAATGTTAGTTAAAAGACTTACAAATAAGAACCCATGCATACCTATCTGTCTCCTTCCAGTGGTCTTTATTCCCTCCATCTCCTGGACCACGGCTGGAGTTCCCAGTTTGGCCTTTTTGGACATTTATCCCATCTATTTTATTTTCATCTGCTTGAGCAGAAATGCAAAAACAAATCAAAGGCAAATAAAATGATCAATTTCTGTGTTTCAGATTTGCTTTAAGCTAAAGAATACTGGGCCCACATGTGCTGAGAGAAATTAAGCCTCACACCAATGCAACTTTCCTCCAAAGCCCCTCTTCCCATATGCTCTGTATCACCCAGCACCTCCAAACCAAATAGGTCCTATTAGAACTTCCCCTGGAGGATTCAGTCTTCTTAAAAAAGAAAAGCAGACTGGAAATAAGGACTATGATTTTCTATAGTAATTTTGGCCAATGATGGTGACATTTCTAATTTTGACAGGCATATTAATTTCCAAACTCCAAACTTTCTCCAAAGTGGCCACTCCTGCCCTCTACTGGTAGAAAAAGGCAGATAATCAAAGCATGGTCAACACAAAGTCAGGTGCAAGATACAAGGACTGAACTGATTTCTTGATTATTGGGTACAGAGCCCGTTCCTACACCATAACAATATCCTGGGTTCAATAGCAGCACTGTGGGAAAAAGAAACTTTAGATTCCAGTTATATTTTCATTTAGACTTCTAACTATATGAAAACCTCCTATTTCCACCCCACTTTGTGTGTGTGTGTGTGTGTTTTTTTTTTTTTTTTTTTTTTTTGAGACAGGGTCTCACTATGTGGTTGAGACTGACCTGGAACTCACTATGTAGCCCAGGCTGGTCTCGAACTCACAGTGATCCTCCTGCCTCCGCCTCCCAAGTGCTGGGATTACAGGCGTGCACCACCGCGCCCGGCTCCTATTTCCGTTTGTATGGTCTTACCTTTCCTTGCTGGTCCTTCCTCAGAAGGCTGAGCTGGAGCTACTTTCCCCCCACCGCTAGAAGGAAAACATTTATTAGTTGTTTCAGAGAGAAAACAGGTAAGAAACTTACTCTGAAATTGAAGTAAGCATTACAGAAAACAAACAAGAAACTCCATTATTTAATGTTCTGGAATATTAAAATACAAGATGATAATAAAAGCAGTGATTTATATACTTGTACCACATATTTTTACAATTATCATAACTGTGCAAGATAAATGGCAGTATCGTTTTATAAGAGAAGACTTAAGAGATGTGAGACTTAAAAGAAGTGACCTCCAAGGCAACTGCCAATGGATGCTGGTGAGAAGACTTATTCTGAAATACTCTCATCATCACCATTTTCATTCAAGCCACCCAAGTGATGTCAACTGGCTATCAAGATTCTAGAAATTCTCAAAATTCTGATGACTGGCTCTAAATGAACCAGCTCCAGCACAGCACTGAATGTAAACTAAGAGAATAAAGTCAACATAACCATAACACTGTTATAAAGTCAACATCCCACAGGGAGCTTTCCATGCTAACATGAGATCTCTAACTCCGGGCTAACAAGCTGCTGTTCCAAGCCGACTCACCTTGTAGGGGATTGCTGCTCTGTGTCTGAGCTCTGAGATCGAGCAGGAGGGTTAGAACTTCGCTTCACCCATGCATTCTCCTTTGGTGGAGGGGCTGGCATTACCTTTAGAGGCTGATCAGGTTTGGGAGGCTTAGAAGTTGGAGAGTGACAGTCTTCCTCCTTACTGAGTGTTTCATTTTCTAGAGACTTCTCACTCTCTCTCCTTCGGGCATCTGTGAAGTCAAAATGGGAAGGTGAAATTATCAGAGGGAAAAACAAAGATATTACAACATGATAATTACCAAGTCATAAAGGAGCAGAAAATTCTTGTTTGTTTTGAGACAGGGTCTTCCTATTTAGTTCAGGTTGATGTTAAACTCACTATGCAGTCCAGGGTGGCCTTGAACTTGCAGTGATCCCCCTGGCCGACTCTCCTCAGTGCTGGGATTACAGATGTACGCCATCAAGCTTGGCTCTGCCATTATTTTTACTTTTTTTGTTGTTGTTTGGTTGTTTTTCCAGACAGGGTCTGGCTACATAGTTCAACCTGGCCTTAAACTCATTTATGTAGCCCAGGCTGGCCCTGAACTTACAGTGATCCTCCTGCCTCAGCCTCCCTCATGCTGGGATTACAGGCAGGTGTTACCATGCCTGGAATATCATTATTTTTAAATGGAGACCCTAATTTGTCTCCCAACAGAATGAATTATCCCTCAACCAATATTTTCCACATGTTATTTTGAGACAAATGATTTACTGGTGCACAGAGGAATAGAAAGAACAGTAAGTTGTGTGTGTATCTTAAAGGATAGCTATCTGGTTTGTCCTAGGAAAGAATGAGTATTCTTTATTTTAGAGTTACAGCTTTCCTGGGCCAGGGATTTAGCTCTGTGGTGCTGCCACCTGCCTTACAAGCTCAAGAACCTGTGTTAGATCCCTGGTACAAAATAACAACAACAACAAAAAAACATTACAGCTTTCCAGGCTGGGAATTTAGCTAAGTGGTGCCACTGCCTGCCTTGCAAGTAAAAGGTCCTGAGTTGGGTCCCTGGTACCAAAGAATTATAGCTTTCCTACCTATACTTCTAATGTCCTTACCTGGAAAAATGGCATGTATGCATGAGAGAAAAGTACTATGGTGAAAGCCCAAACTTCAGTAACCATGCTCAGTTTCAACCCAGCTCAACACACATGTGATACAAAACCACATTTATACAGTAATAAAAACACACAGGATTGTGGGTGTGTTTAAAGGACACTAAGTGTCTCCTTAAAATAAGAAGCGTATTTTTTTGAGACAGGGTCTCACTATGTAGTTGAGACTGACCCGGAACTCACTATGTAGCCCAGGCTGGTCTGGAACTCACAGTGATCCTCCTGCCTCCGCCTCCCAAGTGCTGGGATTACAGGCGTGCACCACCACACCTGGCCTTGAGAAGCCTATTAACCGAGACGTTATGTAAAGGTAACAATTCCCAATGATGAATGTCATTATATTGTATATCTAAAATGTACCAACAAAATAAAAGAAGCCTATTATATGTCAGAATCTTTCTACATTTTAAATGCAAACTCTCTACAAAAGTAGGCATTAAAAAAAAAAAAAAAAAAAAAAAAAAAATCACCCCAGTGACGACATGCTTCAACCCAAATGCAAAAAGGGGCATTATATCCTGTTACTGAGAAATGACATTGTTATGAATTATTTCTCCTACAACACTTGGACGAATTTCCAAATCATTCTGGCCCTGATCCTTATTTCGAAATATTCACATACTCATTTAACGGTGGGAGGAAGAGCTTTTAAAAAACACTGGATCACAGTAACCTAAGCAGATACTGCAACTGAAGCATTAAGGTTTTCAAAACCGTAGAAGGGCTTTCGAGCAATCAGTAATCAGTGAGGAACAATGCAGACTAGAGTAACATTCCTTGAGAACACTGCTCTAGTCATATACAACATCAAAAAAGCCTCGCTCTGGGAACAGCTGAGACTCCAGGCCCACTACTAACTGCTGAATAAGACAAACATAAAATGAAGGGAAAAACTTAACAGTAAAGTACACACTTTACTGGAGTAAAGAGAATATTCTCAGACACTTTTGGAATAAATGACTGAAAACGCAGATCAACTGATACTAACTCAAGAGTTTATAACTGAATATTGTAAAGTCTCTTTGCTCTGGACAATGTATAGAAAACAACAATATGATACCCACCCTGGTCTGACTTACTTCTGCCAGATGGGGCTGAGGTCCCAGTCTGTGATGATTCACTTCCTGTCCTTGACCTTTCCCGTTCCTGAGTTTCTTCACTTCGCCAGCTTGGGTGTCTGCAAAGAAAGAGAGTTAACAATAAGTACACTGTGTTCTGCAGAATGCTGATGATCCTCTAAAAAATCATTTACTAATATTTTATCATATGTCTACCCTGAAGCAACACTTAGATAACACAATCAGCTTAATATACACAGGTAAACAGAAGCACAAAATAATTTTTAGCCTACATGTAACATAAAACATTTTTTATTTTACCCCAAGACTATGAAAATAAGTCAATATAGTTTTTAAATTTTGTAATATAGCTGATGCAACAGAAACTTGATTCCATTCATCTCGCCACAGTGGGGTCCTTTTCTCTATATATTACAGCTAAGAGCCAGCAAGTTTTTCTTAAAGGGCTACATGTATTTATAAAAACATGCACAGCGGGCCAGGGATTTAGCTCAGTGGTGCCACCACCTGCCTCTCAAGTGCAAGGTCCTGATTTCAATCTCTGGTACTCGCAAAAAAAAAAAAAAAAGTTTTGCCTGGCTTGGTGGCATATGCCTGCAATCCCAGCAATCAGGAGGCTGAGGCAGGAGGATCGCTGTGAGTTCGAGACCATCTTGAGTTACATGAGTCCCAGGTCAGCCTCAACTACATAGTGAGACCCTATCTCACCCACCCCCAGGGGCCACGTATTTAGCTCAGTGGTTCCACCGTCTGCCTCGCAAGAACAAGGACCCGAATTCGATCCCCCATAAAAACAAACAAACAAAAAAAACCCATGCCCAAATCAAAACAAATGCAGACCCTAATTTGCTCACTCATGTATTATCATTGTGACAGATATAGCACAGCAGGCCTTTTGAAAATTTCAAGGTCAGAGAACTCTGTTGTGCGAAACTGTCCCACACAAAGCTCCCAAATGCCCCCATTAAACACTGAAAATGCAGATGGAAAATCCACAGATGAGATAACCTCACCTCTCCCGAGGCCGTCGTTCTAGTTTTGGCTCATCCAACTGACGCTGCAGTTTCTCCTGCTCTTTCTGTAGCCGTTCCTCTACTTCTCTTTCTCTAGCAGCCGTGTCAACAGGCTTTGCTCCTCCAAAGATAGAAGCCGCTCGACTGGACTGGGAGGTGCTAGCAGAGGAATCATCTTCCTTAGGAGTACTCCGAGGCTTTAGATTCAGTTTGGGTCTTTGGGGGGGACCTAAGTTAAATGAAACTCTAAGTAATAGTTTTCTAAATCACCAGAAGCTGATGGCTGAAAGCCTGACTGATTTCCAGACATGGCTTTTAGGAAATGCTACATGGAGATTCAGGTTAACTGATCCAGCAGAGAAGGTGGAAGAGAGTGGCTTAAATAGTAGTGTAAATAATCAAGCTCCATTATTCTTTCTCTACCACAACTGTGATACAGAACCAGACTGTCAGAAAGACTAAAGAGGATAATCACTTAAGTGGTAAATTAATCATTTTATCATAATTACTTTTACTTGGGAAGAATTTTTCAACTATGATCAATTACTGAACAAAATGATCTTGTTCAAGAATCTAGTCTCGCCTGGGCGTGGTGGCGCACGCCTGTAATCCCAGCACTCAGGAGGCTGAGGCAGGAGGATCACTGTGAGTTCGAGACCAGCCCAGGCTACATAGTGGGTTCTAGGTCAGTCTCAACTACATAGTGAGACCCTGTCTCAAAACAAAACAAAAACAAACAAACAAACAAACAACAAAAAAAAAAACCCCAAACCAAACCAAAACAAAAAAACCACCTCAAAAAACACACAAAACAAAGAATCTATTTTCACCAGGCGTGGTGGAGCACGCTTGTAATCCTGGCACTTGGAAGGCTGAGGCAAGAGGAACACCATGAGTTCAGGCCAGCCTGGACTAAACACAGGGAGACTACATTTCAAAAAAACAGCAACAAGGGCCAGGGATTTAGCTCAGTGGTTCCGCCACCTACCTCGCCAGTATAAGGACCCGAGTTCGATCCTCAGTACCCTCCCCCAAAAAGCAACAAAAACAAGCCCAATTTGGTGAGACTGTCCAGTAAAGAAATGCTATAAACTAGGTTGTATAACATTTATTCATATGAAAGATATTATGACTAGAACTGTGTTCAGTGAAGACTTCCGAGTAGTAAGACCTGATCAGTTCTGAAAGCCAAGCAGGCATGCAGTGGAGTGGATGTAGAAGATGATGGTGAAGGAAACTAAGCAATAGAAGACCTCAGTATGTGAAATGAAAATGGAGACCTTTTAGGACAAGAGACACATGAAAGTCTAAGAGGTGGGGAACCATCTCATTAGATCATGTTCCAGAAAGACTTCTGGGGGCAGGAAAAATATTAGGAGGCAACTCCATAAGGTCCAAACAAAGGCAGCAGCAGTGACGCCTACTGCCTGCCTGTACAGAGTAGTAAATGCCCAACAAATTTTTTTGTTGTTGTCTTATCTGAAGAGACAGGTAAGTCATGTTTTTAAAAATGAAAGATAAAGCTGGGGATTTAGCTCAGCGGCACTGAGCCTGCCTTGCAAGCACAAAAATAAAAGGTAGGGCTGGGGATGTAGCTGAGTAGCACAGCACCTGACTAGCATGTGTGAGGCCCTGAGTTCAATTACACACACACACACACACACACACACACACACACACACACACACACAGTTGTGTGTGTGTCGCGACGTTCTATTACACACACACACACACACACACACACACACACACACACACACACACACACACACACACACACACACACACACACACACACACACACACACAGTATTAGAAAACTAGAAATACTGAAATTTCTGTTCTGAGGAAAAAAGTCTTAAATGCAGTATTCTGATGGATTTTTATTTTATTTTTTTTGGTACAGGGGATCAAATTCAGGACCTTGCAGGTAGCAGAACCACTGAGCTAACTCCCTGGTCCTCTTGGATATTTTTTACCATGCTGTTTTCTAATTAGTTGCTAAAGTCTTATCTTCATTTCTCAGAGAATAAGAGACAGTAGTATAGATCTAAAGTCCCTGACACAAAGCTCAAAACCAATGGATGTCAAATAATTCAAGACCAAGAATGCTGGGACAGGCCCTAACTCTTCTGATTGCATCACTGAAATTGGAACATAAATGGTGGCTACTTATTAATAACTTCTAATAATTAAACTTAATAGTATGTTTTAAGTTCTAGCATTAGAGGCATAATTTTAGAATAAGCATACCAAAATCTTACCATGGTCTGACAAACATCAATTATTGTAGCACAATGGAACCTAAGCCAGCAATACTTACTTCATTATTAAGCTCAGAGCACCGATTACTGGCTATGGGACTATTTATCTGAATTTCATTTCCTTCACTTCAAAATTGGGCTTAACATGCTCAAGTGAAATTTACTGAATGCGATCACAACATAAAAGGCCATACACAGCTGGGGATTTAGCTCAGTGGTTCTGCTGCCTGTCTCACAAGCGCAAGGATCTGAGTTTGATCCCCGGTACCAAAAAACAAAAAAAAAATCTTAATTTTTAACTTACCTGGTAAATTTTAGCTGAAAAAAATCTAGGTACAAAGTCATTTAACATTATTGCCATTATATTGTCCTCTCTGCCAATGTTCAAATTTTCCCCCAGTTTTTCCAGTGTCTATTCCACCATCTAAGCCAGAAACAATGATTACCTCTGTCATCACGCCTGTAATCATCCCGGGAGTAATCATCCCTGGAGCCCCAGGGCCGATCATCCCGTCTGTCATAGCGGTCTTCATAGCGGTCTCCTCCTCCTCTGTAGTCGTCATCTCTACGGTACCCACTACCAAAGGCTCTTCTGCCACTGCCTACTCTGGAATCATAGCCTATAAATGTGTAACAAATTGAAATGATCACATGAGAAGGAAAAAAATGAAAAAAAGGAGTTCTTGGAAAAAAAGTACTTTGACTGAACCATAGTTTGTAATTACCTCTATCATAGTCTCTGCTGCCACGGTCATCATAGCGATCTCGACCCCCGTATCGATCCATATCCCGGCGTGGGCCATCCCGATACCCATCTCTATACCGGTCTGAATCGTAGCGATCTCGATACTCTAGACAGAAAAGAGACAGGTAACACCATCCCTTTTTCTTTTACATGTTAACAAAGAGCACAGTAACACACTGAATACATTTTGTTTCATAAGGTGTTATTCAAGTTTGTCTCAGTTATTTTTTGGGGGGGTGGGTACCAGGGATTTGAACTCAGAACCTTGCGCTTTTGAAGCAGGTGGTAGCACAAATGAGGTAAACCCCTGGCCCTGTCTTTATGAAGATAAATCATACTGCTGGACATGGTGATTGTGGTACATGTACTTGGGAGGATCGTCTCAAGTTCAAGGCCAGTCTGAAATACAGTGACAAAATATTTCCCTGGTGAAGCTGGGGTGATACTACATGCCCATAATCCCAATACTTTGGGAGGCTGAGACAAGATGATCACACACACAGTCACAAGCCCCACCTAGTCAACTTAGTTGAGACCCTGTCTTAAAGATGTTGGAGATATAGCTCAGTGGTAAAGTACTCCCGATTTGATCTGAAATTAAAAATAACAGCTAACTATGTTGGAAAACAGACATAACCTAAATCTGAAAGGCAAACAAACGAGAGGAAAAAAATGCGGCAAATATCTGGTATTGGCAAAGTCAATTTCTGTACTTTTCATGCTAATTTAAAACTACACTTTGAAAGTTTTGTACAATTTTTTTTTTCCTGGTACCAGAGATCAAACTCACAATCTTGCACTTGTGAGGTAGACACAACACCACTGAGCTAAATCCCCAGCTACCATGTACAATTTTATATATATTAAAAGACTTAAAAATTATATTTATCCACTGGGCCAAAAATTCAGTTTCTAGGAATTTATTCTGAGAAATTAACTTGGTGTATGATAAAGTCACACACAGAGACATTAATTGCAATGTTGTTTATACTAATAAAATTGTGAGGCACACAAGCCATAGATTAAGTTATAGGGCAACCACAGAAAATAGCTATTAAACCAGGCGTGGTGGTGCACGCCTGTAATCCCAGCAGTCAGGAGGCTGAGGCAGGAGGATCGCTGTGAGTTCGAGACCAGCCTGGGCTACATAGTGAGTTCCAGGTCAGTGGAACTACATAGTGAGACCCTGTCTCAAAAAACAAAAAACAAACAAAACAAACAAACAAAAAATAGCTATTAAAACCTAAATGTATCCACCGCAGGTATGAAAAAAGTATGTTACATGTTGTATATTACATACACAAATGTGCATATTTATCAAAGCCAAAAACTTGTAAAGAAATGGGAGTAGTTCTGGAGGCAGACTGGGTAACGTAAGTCATTTATAAAAGGGACAGTTTGTTGTTTATTTAGATTATAGTTGTGTGCCATCACGCCTGGCTGATTATTGTCTTTTAAACAATGATTTTAGGGGCTATGGGTGTAGCTCAGTAATAGAGCCCATTGCCTAACACGCATGAAGTCTTGGTTTTGATCCCTCCCTTGCACTACAAAATAAACAATGATTTCATTTTAGAAATCATATAATTCTATGCGATTAGTCATAAGATTGTCTTGTACTTTAAACTTTATAAAATTGAAGGAACAGTGTGAAAAAGGAGGATCATCGAAGTTTGAGCCCAGCCTGAACTCGTCTACACACACACACACACACACACACACATACTTAAAAAACACAATAAACCACCCTCCAAATCAGCCTTCTGTTTATTTTGAAATGTTTTTAACATTCTGGAGAGGTGAGCGAGCTCAACACTTGATTTATTTAACACTTGATTTATTTGTTTTTGTTTTTTGAGACAGGGTCTCATTATGTAGTTGAGACTGAACTGGAACTCATTATGTATCCCAGGCTTGCCTCAAACTCACAGCGATCCTTCTGCCTCAGCCTCCCAAGTGCTGGGATTACAGACAGGTGTGTGGCACCAGGCCCGGCATTCCATTTATTTTTTAAAAAAGAAAAAAGTCTACCTGCCATGTGTCAGATAATGTTATAGTGTGGAGGAAAATTTAGGTGGGGAAAAAAATGCAAAAGAGAATTGGGAAAGTTGGGGTTACAGTAGGGATGAACTGTACATTTTACATCACATAAATCTGGCAAAAAGTATGTAAAATGGGGTAAAAATTATACCGTCTTATTAAAATAAATGCAAAACAACAGTACTGTTTATAATGATTTGAAAATAATGGCTTTTTTAGTGGCATGAAATGTCATTGCATATTTGTAATGTCATTGCATATTTGTAATGTCAAGGATAAAATTCAGAACCTATTATGTTTTGGGAGAAGTACAAATAAATATATGTAAAACCTGAAAGCAATATTGTAGAGTATTAATGCCTAAGTTGTAAAAATGTAAAGTGATGTTAACCACTTTCTTGGTTGTAGATGAGGGTTAGGGGTTCCACTATGTGTATGACATGAGGTGTGCTTCCTAAGAAAGAGCAGCTATCCTTAAAAAGATGCAGAAGAGCCAGGCGTGGTGTCGCACACTTTTAATCCCAGCACTTGGAGGCAGGAGGATCACTGTGGGTTCAAGGCCAGCCTGGACTAATTCATAATGAGACTGGATCTCACAAGTCTATGTCTGATTTTTACAGTCAAGCCTTTGTGATTCAGTAAAGCTTGGAAGAAGTATACTTCAGCATTTATGGAAGAAATTCTGTTAACAGGAAGAAGTGGCTCTGAAAAGGCAGTCAGACCAAGGGTCCTATTTTGAGTCAAAGAATATGACTATTTTCTCACTTGACATCTTGCATTCAGAGCAAGTAAGATGAGTATCCCTTGTTTTTTTTTTTTGGTACCTGGGATTGAACTCAAGACCTCATGCTTGCAAGGCAGACAGCAGAACCACTGAGCTAAATCCCAGGCCCTTAGAGCAAGTAGGATGGATAACAAGAAAATGAGTGTGCTGTTGTTATCCAAAGCTGGCCCAAATCAGCTTTCATAATTAGTCCTCCCCGTTTTTTTCCTTTTGGTACTGGGGATCAAACTTGGGACCTTGCGTTTGCAAAGCAGGCGATAGTGTCATTGAGCTAAATCCCCAGCCACAAGCTTATAATTTCAGCTAAATCAAGTGTTGAGAGCTGAGCATGGTGGCTCATGCCTGTAATCCCAGCACTTGGAAGGCTGAGGCAGGAGGATTGCTGTGAGTTCCAGACCAGCCTGGGCTACATAGTGAGACCCTGTCTCAAAAACAAACAAACAAACAGGGCAAGGGAGGGCTGGGAATTTAGCTCAGCGGTTCTGCAACAGGTGTAAGGTCCAGAGTTTCAGTTTGATCCCTGGTACCAAAACAACAAAAAATGAATGGAAACAAAAAACTCAAAGATGAATGGAGAAATGCCTGTCCATTTTATTCTTTTATTTAGGAAGTACTGTTTACAAAACTATGAATTTTATAAAAATCTTTTCCTGTACCACCAATGCTTTTGAATGTTAAAAAAATTTAGGTTGGTTGTGTTGGCATGTGCTTGTAGTTTCAGCTACTGGGGAGGCTGAGGCGGGACTACCTGAGTTGGAGTTCAAGGCCAGCGTGGGCAATTCTGTAAAGCCCTGAATCCACACCTACTTCACCCCAACATTCTGTCTGCTAATGTGATCCCCTACAATAATACCTTTGTTCTATCATTACCAAATGGACAAGAGCATAGAAGAAACTGACTTCATAAAAATTGAACTTACTGTCTCCAAAGCTGTCATCACCTCTTCTAGGCGGGTAGTCATCAAAGCTGTCTGTAGCAGGACGGGCCCTCCAGTCTGTGTCTGTTTTGTCAGAATCTCGATTTCTATCTCGCCCAAAAGAACGATCATCTCTGTCTGTAAAGTAATACAAAAAATCCACAAGTTGACAAAGTAAAAGACTTACTTTGTCCACTGCCTGCTTGCCTCTCTCATTCCCTCTCCCTCCCTCTTAGACTCTCACACATAGAACAAAACCCTCCATACTAATTTCTCTTCTGTATCAGACTGTCACTGTGAAGTTGTTCCGGGCCCCTCAAATGCACTCTCCAACTCAACTGAGTCATTCTTTTCTTCACATTTATTTCTAGTGGTTAATGCTTATCCACATAGGACACGAGTTTCTGAACCATACACGAATGAGGTCCCCATTGTGTCCAATATACACTAGGGAGCTAAGCTACTTATTATATATTTAATATTCATTTAGATCAGCCAGGGCTTTTCATTTCCAGGATTAATCTGCAGATTCTATTATCTAATAGGATATCAGTAGCACTCACTTCAAATGACTGCAAACATCCAGCAAAACTGGTTGAGAACAGTTACTCTAGATTTAGGCTGTTTACCACTTATCTTTTAAAGATTTCCGGGTAAGAGGCGGGCGTGGTGGCACATGCCTATAATCAATCCCAGCACTTGGGAGGCTGAGGCAGGAGGATTGCTGTGAATTTGACCAGCCTGGTGCTGCATAGTGAGTTCCAGATCAGTCCGAACTACACAGTGAGATCCTGTCTCAAAAAACCAAAACCCAACCCCTGCAAAAAAATTTCTGGGCAAGGGCACCTTTGTTTTGTAATCCTAGGATGATTACCAAACAAGAAAATTTTTCCATTTTTTTCTCACCTTTATCCTGTGCTTGATCAGCAACATCCACTCGAATTCTTCTGTTACCTAGAGACTGAGAGTACAGAACTGTATTAATCAACCTTATGCTCCATAATGCACAAATCCCATGAGCGACTGTAAATGCCTGGGCACAGAAGCACCTCGGGAAGGCAGGTAAAGGAAAACACTGTACTCTAGTCAATACTCTCAATTTGCTGGTAAGAATCCTTTATCAAGACTTGAAAACTAAAATGGCTTCTTAGAATTAACAAATTTAAGTTCACCGTAAATACGTATCAGGCCACTTAACTTTATATATAAAGCTAGGTTTCACAGAACAGAGTAACTATCCAAGGCTATTTGTCAAGTGTAATGAATTAAAAATAATTCAGTTAGCTACATAAAAGGCATGTTTGGTGCCAGTTACTCAAACATTTATATACACTGAGCCCCACCAATTCTGCTGGTTTGGGGGCGGGCGCAGTACCAGGAATTGAACTCAGGACTTTGCATTTGCAAGGCAGGCACGTGGTGCCACTGCGCTAAATCCCCGGCCCTCATTTCACAGTAGACAGATTGTACATTTGAAAAAAAACAATGAATTTTGGCTAAAAACACCCAAGTTACATAAAATGTAAAAATGATGCAAGAACGAAAACCTTGGAATAACCTTAACTCTTTGTACATATATAATGGGCAGTGTTAAAAAGCAGAAGCACTGAGACATGCAGAGTGGTACATGCTTGAAAATCCCTGAACTTTGGGGAGACAGACTGAAGCAGGAGGATTAAGTTTAAGTCTTGTCTGACAATTTAGTAAGTTTCTCTAAATTAAAAAAGTAAAAGGGCAAGGGAGGCTGGGTGTGGTGGCGCACACCTGTAATCCCAGTACTTGGGAGGCTGAGGCAGGAGGATCATTGAGTTCGAGACCAGCCTGGGCTACATAGTGAGTTCCAGGTCAGTCTCAACTACACAGTGAGACTCTGTCTCAAAAAAAAAAAAAAAAAAAAAAAAAGGCAAGGGAGGGCTGGGAATTTAGCTCAATGGTGCCACCACCTGCCAACTGCCTGGCAAGCACAAGGACCTGAGTTTGACCCCTGGTGCCAAAAAAAAGAAGTGGGGGGTGCATGGGATATAGTTCAGTGGTAGAAGAACATGCTAGGAAAGTACCCTACCAGTCACACCCCTAGATGGAAGACAATGCCTTTTAATACTAAATTAATTAACTTCATTTTCCTACCCCCTTCTCTTACTTGAGATTAAACTCAGAGCCATGTGCATGCAAAGCAAGTGTCCTACCACTAAGCTATATTCTCAGCCTCAACCATCTTAAATTTTATTTTTGAAACAGGGCTGATAAATTGTCCAGGCGGGTCCTGACTTTGTAATCTTCCTGTCTCAGCTGCCCACATAGCTGGGATTACACATATGTGCTACCATACCCAGCTGTTTTTTTCTGTTTGCCTTTACAGAATCAGATTTTTAAAAAGCAAAGACATTAAAACTGAGGCAAAACAGCAAGTAAACTAGTAAGAGATTTTATTAGATACTTAGTGTGTTTGGTTTCTTCCAAAATTTATTAGTGATTAGAACCACTATACTTGCTAAAGTGTGACTTGCTAGATGGTGAACGTTAAATAACCCAGAGTTTTCTGGTGATTATGGGGGAATCTTTGAAATAGCTACTGGTCCAGCCAAAACAAAACAAACAAACAAAAAAATACATCAGTTTGAAGCCGAGTGTAATACAGCATGCCTGGAATCCCAACACTCTAGAAGGCTGAAGCCAGAAGGGTCACCAAGTTCAAGACCAGCCAAGCAACCTAGAGAGAATTCATCTCAAAAAATAAAAAAGGCTGGGGATATAGCCAGGTGCAAAGGCCCTGGGTTTAATCCCCAACACTGGGGTTTGACTGATAAACACAAAAATTTGTGAGCCCCTCCCCCACACCTTACCTCTTCATTGAGACTGAGGGCACTGAGTAGGGAATCCAGGTCCTCAAACTCAGCATAACCAAAACCTTTCAACCTCTCCGGATTGCTAGGTTCACGTGGCAAACGCACTGCACTGATCTGAAGGAGTAAAGACAAAGAGTTGAGAAAGCCTTTTTTGGGGTGGGTGGGGGGACCACACAATCACCAATGCACAAACAACAAATCTTTGAAGACTATTGGGAATCTGGATATCTCCGGAAAGAATACTACAGAGGGCCAAAAAGATTTTATGCCCTGTTACACACCTTTGAATTTTCATCCAATTGCATTTAACTCTTAAAAACAAATCAACCATGAATTCAGTGTATTGCTAACCCTAGGTTTCTTGTCTTTTATGTTTCTATTTTTGTTTTATTTAATTAAAACCTGCTCAATACAGTTTTAGTTTAGCCACTAACCCCAACATATCTAGTTAATGTCCTAATACGATTATACTTACATTTAATCCTCTAAAGAATTCCTTAATAGAGTCTTCCGTGACATCATAGGGCAGGTTCCCTAGAAAAGCAGTGTAGGGTGGAGATTTGGGAAGACGGCTCCGGTCGATATTGGGTTCCCGAGCAGCCCGTGGAGCAGTGGGAAGGATGGAACGGTCAATTGGAGGTGCCCTATACACATCATCATCATTACTGTGCCAAGTGGTTGAAACTAGGATATAAGAACCAATAGAAGAAATTAGAGGAAACTCCTACTACGGTTCTAGATAGAACAAGAGGATTGATCCATGCCAATTGCCAGGTATTAAAAACACTGCAAGCTAGGGATATGGCTCAGTGGTAGAGCACCTGCCTAGCATGTACAAAGCCTTATGTTCAATCTCCAGTATTGCAAAAACAAAACAAAACAAAACAAAAAACCTGCAGCAGGAAAGGTATGGTGAGGCACACATCTATAATCCCAGCACTGTGAGAGGTAGAGGCAGGAGGATAACAAGTCTGAACCCAGCCTCAGAAACTCAGTGACTAAGAACCCTGCCTCAAAATAAAAAAACTGGAGCCAGATGTGGTGGTGCATGTCAGCAGTCCCAGCACTCAAGAGGTTGAGGCAGGAGGACTGCCATGGTTTGAGGTCAGCCTGGGCTACATAGTGAGTTTAAGACCAGCCTGAACTACAGAGTGAGACCCTGTCTCAAAAAACCAAAAAACAGTTCTCAGTGTTCTGGTCTGTTTTTCTAAGTATGTCAAAAGCCATGTTAACAGAATCACATACCTTCTCCTCCTCTGTGAAGGAGAATCAGCTATTTGTATGTCCCAAATACTTTATATCCAACTTCACCTTTTCAACAATTCTGTGAGGTTGTTCCTCAATCTACAAAACTGTTTTAAGACAGTAATTTGCCCAAGGTTATGTGTGAAGAAGTAGAACTAGGGTTCAAACTTGGTTCTGCCACTCTAGATGTTGTTTAAGCACTACTTACAACTCTTATATTGCTACTAATTGGACAAAACAATGGCGAGCTAGGGGTGAAGCTCAGCGGCAAAGTGCTTGCCTAGCATGCAGTGTCCTGGATCCAATCCACAGCACTGGGAAAAAAAAGAAGAGGAAGAGGAAGAAGAGGAAGAGAAAAAAGAAGAGAAAAAACACTTATCTATTCCAGATAACTCACTGCAGGCACAGAGACGCACCTATAATCCTTCCGTATTTTCCTACCACTAATTATTCCTCAGGATGATCTTTATCTCAATTTCACACCAGTAACTCATCACTTATGAGGACACTATAGGATTTTAGACCTAAAAGTGATTTAAAAATATAATCTAAGGCTCTAAATTGTATTCCTGGTACCAAAAGAAAAACAAGGCTGGGGATTTAGCTCAGTGGTGCTGAATCTGTCTCACAAGTACAAGGTCCCGAGTTCAATCTCAGGTACAAAAAAACAAAACAGCTAGCATATACATAAATACATATGATTTCATGTTCCACAAAGCAAGATTCTTTTCCATTACAATGATGTGAATTATGGAATAGGTTTTGTATAGGAAATAATGAAATTCCAAGCATGACAAAAAAAGAAAAATTACCGTCTCCTTCCAGGTCATCTGTTTCATCAGCCCAGCTGACTGGTTTGGGGACATAGGTGGTTCCTCCACCAGTCCCTCCATCCTCAGCCAGAAAATCTGTTAGGGAGATAGTCTTTCCCTTCTTATTCTTCTTTTTTGCTATTTTTAAAAAAGAAAAAGATTATTCATAAATACTGAAGTATTTACAGAACTGTACAATGCAGTATGCTAAATATATTTATAGAGTAATATAAAAGCTCATCATAGAACTAGATTTGGCAAATTTACATAAAGAAATAGCATGCAGTATGTATAGGGAAAGAACATAATGGTCCAGAAAAAAGAATCCAACAGTGAGTGATTTAAAAGTTCCAAGATACATATTATACATAAACACAGACTTAAGTATGGAAAGGGAAGGATGTCTGATATTGCTCTCTAGAGTATGACTGAGGCGGAAGTAACCTTATATTTTCTACTATATTCACTAATTTACCACTTGTGATTGTGTGTTGGGGATCAAACTCAGGGTCTTGCACATTAGGCAAATACTCTACTTCTGAGCTACATGCCCAGCCCCAACAAGTCTCTAAATCCAGTTTCTCAAGATACAAAAATACAACACAAAGTTCCTAACCTACATAAAATTTTGTGGTACTTTTTAAAAAAATTTAAATTAAAAAAATTTTTTTCAGTATCAGGGATTGAACTCAGAACCTTGCACTTGTGAGGCAGGCAGCAGAACCGCTGAGCTAAATCCCCAGCTCTTGTATGGTACTTTCTTGGGGGCAGCATCAGGGATGCACTTAAGGAGCACTGAGTTATACCCTTAGCCCTCATTTGTTTTTGTGGTACTGGAAATTGAACCCAGAGCCTCACAGGCTCAGCAAGCACTTTACCACAGGCACCTTCCCCCACCCCTTAAAAAATGTAGTTCATGGGCCAGGGATTTAGCTTAGTGGTGCTGTGCCTGCCTGGCAAGTGCAAGGTCCTAAATTCGATTCCAGGTTAAAATAAAAAATAAAAAAATTTGTGCTGAGTGTGGTAGCACACTCCTATAATCCCAGCACTCTGGAGGCTGAGGCAGAAGGATTGCTCTGAGTTTTAAGCCAGCGTGGCTACGTTCACAGCTAGATCCTTTCTTTTAGAAAACCAAAAAAAGTAGTTTGATAAGGTCATACAAAGTTGCTCAAGATGGACCTGAACTTATCCTCCTGCCTCAACCTCCTCAATAGCATATGGTAGTTCTGAGGAATGTTTGATATAGAGGAAAGTCTCAGGTCAAATGACTTTTAATTATTAAAAGACAGAACTATAATTAATATGCAGGGCTCTTCCTATTATACCATAGGGATCCCAGTTTCAAAGAAGCTTATTAGGTCTTTGGAAGGTTATCATAACCATGGCAAAATGCTGTGTTGTACTTGGTGTTATTTGAAAATGTTTGAATAATTAAAACTCATATACTTTAAATTTTTGTTCTCTATATAGAAAAAAATTTATTCCTTTTTCTTTTTCTTTTTTTGAGGTAAGGGGATCGAACTCAGGACCTTGCACTTGCAAGAGAGGCATGGCTCCACTGAGCTAAATCCCTGGCCTCATCTTTTTTACCTTAACACTCCATATTGAGATATGATACTAAAAGGAAAATATAAGAAAACTCTAACAACCAACACATTTAAATATTTCCACAAATAGCTCCTTTTAGTGGACTGACTCTGGCTCTCTAGCCATAGAACTTCTAAGATGGCAAAAATCAATAACTGCTTTTAGTCTATGTGATGCTAAAGTTAGCACCAAAATCAACAACTAATTCAGAACAACAGAAGGGACGTGGTAATAGAGCTAGCCTGATGAAGAAAAAAAGTAGTTCTGTTGTAACAAAGATCAGCTTCATGACTTTTGAACCATGATTTCCTTTTCCATGTTCCAATTCTCATCTAATTTTCAACCCAAGAGAGCTAAGTACCTGTAACTTGATGCACCACTTGCTTAACTGAAGGTTGTTCTCTCACTTGGTATATGTCTTGCTTTTAAAATTCAACTGTGAGGAAATTAAAGGTGACCTGTTTGCTATGAATGTTACAGCCTTCTGAACATAACAAGAACCTGAAGTATTATGGTCTCAACGTGCAAATCAGATGAATTTGGCTGCAATAATATGAAAAAAAGATGTCCATTAATGTGAAGTTTCTGGATTTCTCTCAAGTGACTTAACACTAATGTAGCTCTCAAGAGTACTGCACGCATCATGAGTGACCAGATGACAGCTATTCTACGCTAGCTATGAATGTACTCTATAGCTTTGAAAGAAAGCAGCTACTCAAAAGGTTGAGTCCTACAGCAGTGATTCTTCTCCAGCTCATTCCAAAGATCAAGGAGAAATTTTAAAAAGCTAATGTGAACAAGAGGTTGAATACTTATAGTGCACACTTTAGTCATTTTACATCCTTTAATTAAAAAAGTATCTGGGATTAGTATGATGTTTGCTAGAGCTCTTAACCTCATGAGGCTTAATCTAGTATTATCAGCTAACATCCTATTATTAACCTGTCCTACAATTTGGAGAAAACTAACTGATGGTCAGTCAACTAATGAGGTCAAGCTGAACAGTAAGAACCTGAGCAAGATACCCCTTTTCCCTTGTTCTGTAGACTTACACCTTAAAAGATCAGAATGTGCAATTTGTCCTTTGGTCTGATACAGTTTAAATCAACTTTGTAGATCAGGCAGGGTTTCTCAACTTCTAACTCCTTGACTCTTGGTGAACAAGTCTCATACTCTAATATTTAAAATTTCAATAAATTAGCATGACTGAAATAGAAACCACTGTTAATTTTAAAATGTCTTTCAGATCATGTATCTCCCCTTTATGATTGTCACTCCTCCCCAAATAACACTAAGGTCGCAAGGATAAAATTCCTTTAAAGATCTTCAACTTAAGAGTAGCACCACTGACTCAGCCACAACATAAACCTATATAAAAGTAGCCCATAAGAGTTGGGTGCCTGTAACCCCACCATTCCGGAGGCTGAGGAAGGAAGATATCCCCAAGTTAAGGTCAGCCTGGGCAAGCCAGCCTGAACTACAGTTAGACCTTGTCTCAAAAAAATGAAAAAGGGCTGAGGATTTAGCTCAGTGGTGCTGCCACCCGTCTCACAAGCACAAGGTCCTGAGTTCAATCCCCCCACCCTGTACCAAAAATCAAAACAAAATAAACAGTACACAATTGATAAAGTGGATGCCAATGTTTGTCCCACTTCGTTTTGTTCCAACACAAAATATGCTATCTAAATCCTCCATGCCCTTTATTCGCCCAATACCTAGGCCCATATATGTTTGGGATTTCAACGCTGTTCCCACTTTTTTTGTTTGTTTTTGTTTTTTGAGACAGGGTCTCACTATGGAATTCAGGCTGGCTTTAAACTCTCAGCGCAGCCGGGGTTGGCCTTGAATTCAAAGCAATCTTCTTGCCTCAGCCTCTTAAATGCTTGGATTACAGGCAAGCACCACCAGGCCTGGCTGTTCTCTGCTTTTTAAGTGTTATCAGAGTTCCAGGTAGATCAATGCCACACGGACTGGTCCAATTCCTTTATTCTCCCTAAATCTTATGTGAACTAACAAATTACTCACCAAGCAAAACTTTTCCCAATTATTAATGTCAAATGCAGACTGGGTGTGGTAGTATGCATCTATAATCCTAGCATTTGGAGACCAAGGCAGGGGGACAGGGACAACACACAATGCAAGTATCTCAACCTTCTTATAGATCAACATAGGTTAAACACAAGATCTTACAAAGACATTTTCTAGGGCTGGGGATTTAGCTCAGTGGTTCTGCTGCCTGCCTCCCAAGCACAAGGACCAGCATTCAATCCCCAGTACCAAAAATATATATATATAAGTAAATAAATAAACATTTTCCAAAGCTGTTCATAAGTAAATGAGAAACATTTATGGTCTCGATAAGTCTGTTATAAAGAAAAAAAGATAACAGAAGTAAAGAGTAACACCTCAGTTGAACTTGATTCATCCCAAATTTGTATTTGAACACTGAAAAGTTCAAGAACTGAACATTTTCCCCATAAGAAACAATGAAAAACAATTAATTCTGAGTCCCCAAAATTACTTATAAATTAATTTTTTCTGGGACTTAAACAAATTTCACAATGACTTCTTTAACTCTTATCATGGAAAAGCTCAAGTTTCCTCAGTTTTACTGCTGGTATCACTAACTTTCTTTGGAACTGGGATTACAGTATTTTACACAAATAAAGCACACACATACACAAAAAGCAAGCATCATGATGAATGTTTTAATGCACTAACACAAGCACTACATATAGTCTGAGCAAGAGCAGCATTTATAGTCACCTCTCTCTGTGTCTGGGGCGACACATGACTCACTCTCAGCTTCTACAGGCTTTTCAAGTCAGATTTTCAGCTGACTACTGAGTAAAGCTACAAACACGGATCAGAATTTTTCCCCCCAAACTTTTCTGCTGCAATTGTGTAAAATTTGAGCTTGGAGCTGAGAAACAACCAAAGTACCACTGTATAACTAATCAATTTAATTCTTTTTTTCTGAGACAGGGTCTCACTACATAGTTGAGACTGACCTGGAACTCACTATGTAGCCCAGGTTGGTCTCGAACTCACAGCAATCCTCCTGCCTCAGCCTCCCAAGTGCTGGGATTACAGGTGTGTGCTGCCACCCCTGGCTTCAGTTTAATTCTTAAATCAGGATTTCTCTCAATTTCAATACTATTGCTGTTTTAAGTTAGGTAATTTGTGTTGTTGCTGGGGGCTTTCCTGTGCAGTGTTAGATGGTTAGCAGTATCTCTGGACTTTACTCATTAGCCAAAGTAAACTCCACCACCCTTACCTCACTGTGATAAATCTAAAATGTCTCCAGACACTACCAAATGTTGGGGAGGGGACAAAAGCTGCCCTTTGATGGAGAGCTTCTTGTTTTCACTTCAATAAATAAAATGACAAGGCCTAGAATGGGGTCAAACATTGTAATCCCAGCACTCTGGGAAGTTGAAGCAGGAGGATCACAAGTCTGAGCCCAGCTTGGGCAATCGTGCCTCAAAATAAAAAATTAAACTGGGGGCGGTGGTGAATCTTATAAGCCCAGCACTCAAGAGGCTGAGGCA